GAGGGCCGGTTAGGGGAGGCTGTGCCTCCCCAAACAGCCAGGTGTGTCTCGGCCCCCCACCCCCTATCTGACCCCCCCCTGCTTCTCACCCCCTGATGGCCCCCCTGGGACTCCTGCCCCATCCAATCCCCCCGTTCCCTGTCCCCTGACAGCCCCCCCAGGACTCCTGCCCCATCCAACTCCCCGCTCCCCTTCCCCTGACCGTCCCAGGACCTGCCCGCTGACTGCCCCCTGCCGCCCCATCCAACCCCCCCTCTCCTTCCTGACTGCCCCCCCCCGGGACCCCTGCCCCCATTCAACCCCCCTGTTCCTGCCCTCTGACTGCCCTGACCCCGACCCACACCCTGAACTCCCCTGCCCTCTAACCAACCCCCCCGCACCGGTGGCTGGCGGCGTTACAGCCATGCTGCCCAGAGCAGCAGGACAGGCAGCCGTGCCACCCGGCTGGAGCCCGCCACGCCACCGCACAGCCCAGAGCACTGGGTCAGGCCGTGGCTCTGCAGCTGTGCTGCCGGAATAGCATTTTCTTACAAGCCTTCGTATCAGTAACTGCTACCACTAGCACATTCCTACGGGGAGCAGTTTAATACTCTGCACCGGCAGGCGCTCGCAGCCCCGCCGTCCGGAGCATTGTGCGGTGGCGCAGTGAGCTGAGGCTGCGGGGGAGGTGGAACAGCAGGGGAGGGGCCGGGGGCTAACCTCCTGGGCCAGGAGCTCAGGGGCCAGGCAGGAGGGTCCCACGGGCTGGATGTGGCCCGCGGGTCGTAGTTTTCCCACCTCTGACCTAGAGCCTTCCCCTGATCACGGTCTGCCGACTGCCTCCTTGTTGCACACAATTATACAACTCACTGTAGATTAGCCAACTCTTGGCTTGAGTAATTTAAAAAGTGGGATTTATTTCTTTGTCCTGGGCAGCAAGATTTAGTGCTGTGTGTGAACCATAACAGAGGACCCAGGACCTCAAGAGGGCTCTCCAAGGTGCAGCGTTCCCATCATACATGGTGACACAAATGTCACCTCAATCGGGACCCGTTGTCAGTGAAATCCAGATGCAGTCACACAAGGCCCAGATTTTTAGAAGTGTGTGCACAAATGCGTGTGTGCTTTTGCATGGTTAGCTTACACACTCAAGGAGTGTTGTTGCCCAAATGACTGGTTAGATTTTTTTGCAGTGTTGTAGCCATGTTGGTCCCAGGATGTTAGAGAAACTACGTGGGTGCAATATCTTTTATTGGACCAACTTATGTTAGTGAAAGAGTCAAGCTTTCAAGCTACACTGAGCTCTTTTTCATGTCTTCAGACCTGTAGATCAAAAGCTTGTCTCTTCCCTCTACAGAAGTTGGTTCAATAAAAGATATTACCTCACCCACATTGTCTCTCTGCTTAGATGTGTAACTGATCATCTGCATACGCAGTTATTGTGATGCACACAAATTAGGTGCCTGGGTTTATATGCCTGCAGTCTAAAAATGCAGGCGACACAGAATATTATGTATATATAGGCCTCATATAGCATTTTACCTCTTCAAATCACTGCAAACACATGAACTAATTCTCACACCCCCATTGAGAGGCAAGTATTATCCATTCTCCATTTTATTAGATGGAAGAGCAGAGAGGATAAATGACTTGTTCAAGGCAATATAACAAGGCAGGAGCAGAATTAGAACTCGGGTGTCTTCGGCTTCAAGTTCCATGCTTATTTCACTAGACCAGGGGTCGGCAACCTTTCAGAAGTGATGTGCCGAGTCGTCATTTATTCACTCTAATTTAAGGTTTCGCGTGCTAGTAATACATTTTAATGTTTTTAGACGGTCTCTTTCTATAAGTCTATAATATATAACTAAACTATTGTTGTGTGTAAAGCAAATAAGGTTTTTAAAATGTTTAAGAAGCTTCATTTAAAATTAAATTAAAATGCAGAGCCCCCCGACCAGTGGCCAGGACCCAGGCAGTGTGAGTGCCACTGAAAATCAGCTTGCGTGCCGCCTTTGGCACGGATGCCATAGGTTGCCTACCCCTGCACTAGACCCTGCTGGCTCCCTATGCATCTCTATCTAGAAAGATATGCATCCCTCTCTTACACATTTGTTTGGTGGGCAGTCTAGAAAAGCAAAACAGAAAAACATGCAAGTGTCAGAGAGATTAGTACAGTGTTTATAAACCTACCTTTTGGAGCCATCCCTGGGGGCTAAGCATTCTGAGTGTTGTTCAGTGGCTCTATTGCTACAGTGAAGGATAGCTGTTTGTTTAACCAAGGATAGCCTAAATATCACCTGTTGTAGTCTACGCATACATGAGAGGTCTTTGGCTGTTTTACCTGGGAGAACTGCATCTTTACAGTACTTACTGAGGAAACACTAAGGGGCACATCATGATGTCAATTGTAAGGGCATGTGCACCCTCAAGATGCTCAGAGTTCTGGTTTATTTTGGTTAAGAAAGTAAGTCTGGATCCTCCTCCAAACCTCTTGAGCACAGGCTGTTTCCTGTTATTTTAGCTTGTCTGTATCAGGTCCCACCTGGATGCAGAAGTAAATAAAAGAATGGTCCAAACATTTCAGAACTTTAGAAAAAGTTCGGTTCTCAGGGGCTCATTATGGTGGTTGGGGCCTTTATATTTCCTGAATCAGGTATAGCCTGTGTGCACCGCACTAATCATGTAGCTCTATGAGATCCCAGAGTATCATTTTAAAAAAGCCAACAGATGTGAAAATTAAGGTTCGGAAATGTCCTCATTGCTGATTTTCATTCAAACAATCTGGATCTTCTGTTCAGCTGCCCAGATATTCCTGTCCTACTTCCCCTCTCACTAAGGTCTCTAGTAAATTCTGTGAGAATGAAAAATTAGTCTGGTAACCAAGTAGTAAAGCACGGTCTACATTCTTGCCTTGTTCAGCTTCTCTGTGTTTTACCCAGTAACATGATAGGGTCGGCTGGTGGACTATGAGGTAGCGTCTCACCAAGTGTCATGGTATTTTATTAAGTCAGAAATGTGATAGCTACTGTTGTCACACTTCAGTGTACAGAACAATTCATTCGTAAATGAGAAAAGCAGATCCCCCACAAATACCTTTCCCCTTACATAATGCACAGCATAATGCACAGCACAATGCAACTGAAGCTGAGTGGGCTGTGACAATATTATTCCAGCGTGGCTTTCACAGCTCACAACCACTGTTGGGAATGTTTTTTTAATTTTAGAATGGGGGCGTGTGCCAGCAGAGATCTGTTATTAATTTATTTTCTCAGCTCTCATTTGTAGAGTCGGCACTCACTTAAAACACTGGCCTCAATTATAAAGCAGGGAACAGAGGAGATGGGAACCCATTGGATTAGATACTTTAGAAACCCCTACTCAGCAAAAGTCAGGACTTGTATCATAAGGGATCCAGCATTATACCATAAGGGAAGCAGCATTAATACATCTCTGACATGATGGTTCTTGAAATTTTGGGGCTACATTTTCAAAGGAAAGTGTGTGCACAAAATTATATGTACTTCCATCGCATTACAACCCTCAAGTGCATTTGCAGCTCAGGAAACTCTGCCTTCCTAGATAGGGACGGTGGGTAGAATTTTCAAAAGCACTTGAGCAATTTAATCATTTTTGAAAATGGGCCTAAGTTCTACTTTCAAAATGGCCTCAGTCACTTAAGTGATTTTGAAATTTTTACCCAATCTGCAGAAATGTAGGATTTGTGAACAGAACTGTCTCACATGCATTTCTGAAGGCACGTTTGTGATGTCCTCCCTTTGGAAATCTAGCCACAAGATTTTTTGTGTGTTGGTGGAAGGGGTGGATTTAAATAGAAAATCCTTGGCTGTGTAAAGAGACTACTACAAGCTTCATAGTGTAGATAACAAAGAGTGACTAGTGAAGCAGATAAACCCACATTAAGTATTATGGATATTGCTTAGAGTTCCCGTCCACTTCTGTAATTCAGTGGAAGATCAGCCAAAAAAAACAGAACAATATCTGCTGACTTCCAAGGGCCTTTGCAACATACATTGTCCTTTCCCTGCAAGAGTCAAAGAAGAGAGAGAGAAAAAGGCTCCCTAACTTTCTTCCCATCCCCTTTTTAATCACGTCAAGTCAGAGAAAGAAACCATAGAAATAACATTTCTTGAGATTTTGAGGTAAAGCCTTCACCACTCAAACAATGAAGAATTTAGATGATACGATCTAGAGTACATATTTCATGCTCCAAGTGCATAATCTATTCAGTTTAAATTTCCTGTGTGGTGATTTCCTTATTACTTATGTGTATTATTTCTTAACTTTGTCTGTGGAATGGGGATCTGACAGGGTCCCTTCTCTTGGTGGATGGACAGGAGAGGGTAAAGCCCCAGCAAGCACTGGGGAAACACTATAGGAGCAAGACAGGTCTCAGACAGGAAATTTCTGTGGAAAGACCTAGAAAAAGGGGGTTTCTTCTTTAAATTAAGCCTGAATATTCTTATTGGTACAGTAATGCTCTTTAACGGGGAAGGCTGCTGATTCTGATACCACACACAATGCATGTAAACTACTAATGTTTCTCTGTTTTACTGGTTAAGAGACAGATAAGTTCCTTTGCATCAGCTTTACACATTTCTGTATGAAGAGGAAGCACTTTCACCTTAATGTGCAATTGAAGAACTATTGTGATCTCAGACAATTCTTGCTTAGGCACAGTAATTCTATTCATGTTGTGGCCAAGCAGCATCTGAAACTGGATTGTAATCTAATCAATTGACTGGAATTTGTTGAGAGTATTAGCAATACAGGGGGACCTGATTTCACCTTAATATCTGTCCTTAATGTGTTTTTCATTTCATGATACTTAGTCCTGCCATGAGTGCAGGAACTGGACTAGATGACCTCTCGAGATCCCTTCCAGTCCTATGATTCCATGATTATTCTATGATAAAATTCTTCCTTCAAATTTGTTATTCCAAGGCAATATCATTTCCTGATTCATTTGGGTTTTTTTGTTTTTGTTTGTTTATGCTTTGCAGGATTGTGACCAAATACACATAGACGACGTATCATCCGATGACAATGGACAAGATCTAAGGTAGGTAATCTCTGGACTGGAACCTCCATCTCAAACAGTCCACAATTCCTTAGAAATGGCTTGAGAATGAGCAATGGTATAATATAAATAACATTTTTGATCTTGCTGTTTTCCCCTTCCATATTCCTTGCATTCATCAACGCATGGGAGCACAAAACTCCTTTTTCTCACACTAATATGCCCAGGCCTTACTCTCACGCCCTGTCCATACTAAACTTTAAACCATACTGAAAAACAAGTTTGAAAATGGGTTGAACTCAACTCAGCTACGCCAGTTTCAAATATGGTTTGGCCAGCCAACGTAGATTGGACCAAACCATTTCAAAACCATTCTTGAGCTTAGAATTGTGCAGTGCTGTGTCTGGACTGTATGAAACTCAGGCCCAGAATTCCCAGGAGCTTTGCCCAAACTAATGGGAGAGTTCCCACTTTTGCAGCCGAAGGTCCTATATGTATCCCCATATTCTGTGTTATTACAAGGAAATCGTATGATTGTGGGTTACAATCAGGGCCGCTCTAGCATTTTTGCTGCCCCAAGCAGCAAAAAAAGAAAAGAAAAAAAAGCCGCAATCACGATCGGGGGCAGCTCTAGCGCCCCTTCATTCTACGGCGGCAATACGGCGGCAGGTCCTTTGCTCTGAGAGGGAGTGACAGCCTGCCACTGAATTGCCGCCGAACTGCCGGATGTGCTGCCCCCCCTCTTCATTGGCTGCCCCAGGCACCTGCTTGCTACGCTGGTGCCTGGAGCCGGCCCGGGTTACAATGTAATTATCATATTTTCCACTGGAATTGACTCCTGGTTACAGTATTGTTATTTATTGTAAGATCTCAAGGTTACTGTGGCAACTGTACTATTAACACATCACCCTCCTCTACTTGCTATATAATTTGAGAATTAATTGCCTCAATGCTATGCATCCCAGCCACTTATTTTCCATGTGACATTTCTTTATGTGGGATATGTTGACGACTCCATGGTCACAGCATTGATTACGCCCGGCATGAGCTTCATGGCTAAGAACTGTGCAGTATTTTGAAAATTTAGTCCTGCGTTTTCATGCTGCACTGAATATTATTCCCAAAAAAGTGGTACCTTTGATCACTGCTACCAGAAACTCATGAAGGTGTTAGACATATTCCTCAGTGAAACAACCCTGCAATTTAGGCTTATCTGTCACCTATCACAGAGCACAGAATGGTACAGCCAGAACTCAGTGTCACAATAAAATGTCCTCTTTGATTTAAAGAAGTGATTTTTAGTGTCCAGCAATCTTACATAGTGAATGGCAGGTAGACCAGTAAAAATTGGCTTTGTCATGAAAATATTACTCCAAATTTGCATACACCAATACTGTGTGTATATAAATCAGGTAATCATGCACATGATAAATTTGCATGTGCATTTACCAAAGTCTTTGCACGTGCATTTGCCAAGTGTGCATGTACATTCACAGTAATTGTGTGTACAAATTGGATGTGCAGTTGTTCACCTACATTGTATGGCAACCGGGACCTATATTTACACTCTGTTATTTTCCAGTGGGTTGTTTATATGATGAATGGATGTAGCTACATGGTACAGAGTACTATGGAAGCCGCATAGGGAAGGCAGTTCTCCCCACACAGAAAAGCTTCACTCAGAGGAGCAGGGCCAGATTAACTCTCCTGTGGGCCCGGGGCTATTAGATTCTGTGGGGCTCCGGGTTTGGAGTGGGGGAGTGGGTTCAGGGCTGTGGCATGGGATTGGGGTGCGGGAGGGGGTGCAACTCCAGCTGGGGGGGGTGGGCTCTGGAGTGGAGCCAGGGATGGGACAGGTGGCTGGGGTGCAGCAGGAGGTTTGGGGTGCGGGCTCTGGGGGGGAGTTTGGGTGCAGGAGGGGGCTTTGGGCTGGGGTAGGGGGTTGGGGTGCAGGAGGAGGTGTGGGGTGCAGGCTCCAGCCGGGAGGCGCTTACCTCAGGCAGCTCCTGGTCGGCAGTGCAGCAGGGCTAAGGCAGGATCCCTGCCTGCCCTGACTCCACACTGCTCTGCTCCCCAAGGTGGCCAACACGTCCGGCCCCTAGGCAGAGGAGCCAGGCCGCTCTGCGCGGGGCACGCTGCCTGTGCCCACAGGCACTGCCCCCGCAGCTCCCATTGGCTGCGGTACCTGGCCAATGGGAGCTGTGGCACCGGCGCCCGGGGCAGAGATTCCCTGAATGCCCTCGCCTAGGGGCTGCAGGAGCACATCTGCGAGCTGGCACTCGCGGTGCCAGCCCTAGGGGGCGCATCGAGGCTCAGGGACCGGTGTCCGGCCCACGGCGTGTAGACTTGCCGTGGGCTGGATGAAAAGAAGCAGCGGGCCACATCTGGCTTGCGGGACCCCTCCTTAGCCCGAGGCCCTGGGCTGCAGCCCCTAAAGCCTCTGAATTAATCCGGCCCTGGAGAAGAGGCCTTATGTCATTTGAGATTGTAGTTTATGCTTTGCAAAGCATTGAAAGAACGGGACACTTTCAGGCTGTTTTATTAGCCTATAAGCAGGCTCTACTGCATAGCAAATCCAAGTATGAGTGCACATATATATAAATGAGAAACTGGATTTTACCTTAAGTAAATTAGTGCAAACAATCCTTGCCTGTTCTGAGAGTATATGGGAAAGCAATCTGCTAACAGCATCTCTTTTCATCCTGCAACAAGCCCGAGCCCAAAAGATCTCTGCTGCTTTTCACATATTTCTCATATGCTTAGGGAAATTAAGCCAAAGTAATTTTGGGAAGTGAATTAAGCTAAATTAAAATAAAATGTCACTTTACTTCTGAATGAGCGCATCCACACAGGAGTTTAACGTGCTTTAAATTCTCACCTTTAGTTGATTTGACTTAACTTCCTGCATAGACAAGGCCTTTGTCATCTTTCCTATATGCCATACCCATTTTATTCTCTTCTTCTGGGCTCTGCTTGGGCAGCGTTAAAGAGATTTTGGTGGAGAATGTTTATGACCATGCGTTGTAAGCAGCCACTGCTCTTTCATTCCACTGTTAATTCTTTTCTTGTTCTAAAACAGGTTCAAAGCCCGGTATTAACATATAATGCCAAACAATCAGAAAGGTCTATATCAGAATTACTTTCTTTAGGATTTGAGTATTTCTGCAGACAGATAGTTGCATTAGCATCTGTGTTTCAGTAAGCCAGGCATGCATAGTGATTCAGTGCCCAGTTGTGATTTTCATGTAGAGGACAGTCCTGTTTTTCTCTGTGTTCAAGGTAGTTCTAAGATTCTCACAGTGAATGGGTGGTAGTAACCAACATGTACGATGTCTTCATCAGAAGGCATTTTCACTGTTTGTGCCCCATAAATTCCTCATTGTTTTCAGAGATGTGTAGAAACTAGCCATGAAGAGCGGGGTTGGATAGCTCAGTGGTTTGAGTATTGGCCTGCTAAACCCAGGGTTGTAAGTTCAGCCCTTGAGGGGGCCATTTAAGGATCTGGGGCAAAATCAGTACTTGGTCCTGCTAGTGAAGGCAGGGGACTGGACTTGATGACCTTTCAAGGCCCCTTCCAGTTCTATGAGATAGGTATATCTCCATATATTATATGGGAGCAGTGCTGGGCTCCACACCTCTGGCAATCTTGTTAGCTTTTCATGCCTGAAAATAAGTTTTTCTTGTCAAAATTAATGGACCAAAATTTTCACCCCATTAATCCCCATATAGGATCAGTAGTTGTATCCAGTTGCACATGGAAAACCATACCTTTTATTGTACAGATCTGGCATTATCACACCAGATGTTTAAAACCGTCAGATGCACAATTGTAAAATGCACATGCAATTACATACCTGCATTTGTATAAAAAAATGGCCCTCTATGTCAGTCTGCCTAATTTGCTTGTTTAAATGTGTGTTGGGGGGGCTGATGGAGAGTTGTGCATGCAAATAGGTGTACCCACAAATTCAGCAGGAGTGGTAATGGGAATTGACTGAAGATTTAGCCCAACAAATAAATTAGCACACCACAAATTGATAGGTATTACCAGAAAACCGGTAGGGCAAGAAGAGATTTATTCCTCCTCCTCCTGTGCTTTACCAGCTGCCTCCATTACTCTCCAGCAACATCTGGTGTCCCTCTTCCCCCACCCCCTTCACTTGTTTCTAAACCCTGTTGGAAGGAACCTTGTATTATATAATTGCACTAACACTCTTTCCCGTTTCTTCCTCCCCCTCTTTCCCCTCCTCCCCCCCCCCCCCCCACCAGCACATATAACTTCTCAGCAGATGGCTTTCACAGTTCAACTGCTGGTGCAAATCTATGTCTGGGCTCTGGAGTTCATGGGGGAGTTGACTGGATGAGGAAATTAGCATTCCGCTACCGTCGGGTGAAAGAGATGTACAATACCTACAAAAATAATGTAGGAGGTGAGTGTCTCCAGCCAGGGAATGGCCCCTTTCATCTTGCAAAAAAACCTCTCTCTGTTCAGCAGGATAAACACTACAAGGTAGGTGTGTAGCAAGCAGCATACTTAGGGCACCTTGATCTTTGGAGAACTGAACTGCTAGGCAAGTGTTTCAGCAGAATTCAGCAGTGTTATCCTTAAATAACAATGGTCATGACAGAATAGCCTAGGCACTCCAAAAACAAGGAGCAAACTCATTTGTTATAGGGGGAAGTGCAGTCTAATGGTCAGAGCAAGGGACTGGGAATCAAGACTGCTCCTTATCCTGTTCCCATCTCTGACACATTGTAACAGGTGGGTAAGTTGCAGCCTGTCTACACTAGAGTTTTCCCATGTGCAGACTGGGGCTAATACCTAGCTCACATAGGTGTGTTGTGAGGCTTGGTTAGCTTTTGCCAAGTGCTCTGAGGTCCCGTGAAAGGCATTAGAGATAGTGGACCAAGCTACAAAATCTGGATCTAGATTTCACACGCCCTTCCCAAGGTCAGGAGTTGATCAGACAAGAGGTTGTGGTTCAGGCCTATCTCTAATTAGCAGGAAATGAAATATTGCTGCTCCTAAGAGGGCTCTGTAAAGTTCTGTGTTCCCTATGCCTGTTCCCCTGTACACGAGAGGAGAAATCAAGCCCTGCTTTAAGAGCCTTACACACAGCGTGCTGTGTCTACTCACAATAATTTCATTTAAAGGTCTTTCAGGAGGGGCTAATTTCTGTTCTCTATTGTACAGGGCCTAGCACATTCAGCACTCCAATAATAACGGCCTAGGCACTAATTCCCTAACCCATGGCAATAGGTTAATTAAAAAAATATATTTTTAAAATGTACATTTCATTCACGCTGATATTTGTGCATCTAATTAAAGGGCACCCCATCTCCAAAGTCCTTGGGATCCCTAACAAAACAATTAAAACCACATATCTTTGCCAAAAGAAAGCTGTGTGACCCAATAAATTAACACCAGAGCTGGTGCAGAAAACATTATGTTTATCACCTCCCCAAACAAACAATAAATAAAACACAAACGCACCATTCAAACAACCTAAAACCAATATCTCGAGTCTCACACAGAGGGATGCATAGATGAGCTCTGGTGTACATGGAAGGAAAGAGTATTCCTTAGTCACAGTTCCCTATTCCACATCTCATCAAAATGATATCACAAGACAATGGGATGGTCTAGCCTCCTTGATCTCACAGCATCTGATTTAGCTAACCCAGTTTCTCTCTTAGGCTGGGCTGGGATTTTGTCAGCACAAGTGTCTCAGAACTAGAACCAGAACAACATATAACCAAAAATAATAATATTCCTAAAGGTATTTTAAATATTTGCCTTTTACGTATTTAGTGGGAATAATGACCTTCCCATATATACTGGGAATAACGACCTTGTGGACAGATTTTCAGGGGGATTAATGACCAGCAGGATCCAACAGTCATCTGTTTCTGCTCAGACCTCTATCCCCTCCACACTAGTCGTTAATTCTCAGGAAATGCCCGGCACCTCAATCATTATTGCTTAGTTCTATGGGAAATTTCAGAAAAGTATTCTAACTGAGCCATGCAAATTGCTAACCACAGAGACAGAGCCGAGCAAAATACTGGCTAAATATGCCAGTGCTAACTACCACATCAGTGAATGTATTTCAGAGAAGGTTTCTCCATACAACAGGCCCTTAGTTGTGAAACACTTTGCACAGCAGCCATCTAGAGGTTCAGTGGGTTGAAGAAGAGGAGACCAGTGACAGATTAAAGCCCCTCAACTCATGACTTGTGCAGAAGAGACTGGGGTCAAGATGGGAGGGGGAATGAGGGAAGTGGATGAATAGGAGTGAGAAACATTGGGGGCATTCAGGGCATCATCTACTTTGAAGTGATGTCCAAAAAGAAGGCTAGCAGCAGGTTCAAGAGGGAGAAGGGAAGGGGACTCAGGGCAGAGCCTTGAAACACTCCATAGCAGCAGGATTAGAAGGAGTCTCCACCAGGAATGTAAGAGGAGCAGCTTGAGAGGTAGGATTCAAACGTGGCCAGGAGAGAGCAGGAGGCCCTTTGGTATACTGTGTACTAAGCTGTGCAAGACATTCCCTTTCCGTGCAGCTACAAATAATGTTGCTTAATTTCCCTGCTTGCAGGTTTAATAGGAGCTCCTAAGAGGGAAACCTGGCTGCAGTTAAGAGCAGAACTGGAAGCTCTGACTGATCTCTGGCTCACTCATGCTCTCAAGGCTCTGAATTTGATACATTCCCGGTAAGAACAGCTTAAGGAATCACCTACATATGAGATCCAAGAGTTCTTTTGCTTCCCTTCTTTTCCTCCAAACAAACCAGGGCACGTTTATAGGATTTTGCTGGCCAAATCTGTGGGAGGCCCATCTGCACATGTTTTCCAGATTTGTATTATCCGGGGTAGGGGTGAGCTCAATCTGATACAAAGGACTAAACAAAAGAAAATCAGCTGGTTTTCCTGCCTTGCTGCTGGATACCCCATTTGTAGCATTCCCAGGAAGGTACTAAACAGATTTGCAGGAGACCAGTAAGAGGAAATAGAAGCACTACTAGCCCTGACTTAGTTCACCCAAGGGACCCAGTGTAAATGACATTGGAGATTTACCACCATTTAAAGCACCTCAGTGGTTGGCTGCGATATACACTGTAAGTCTCCGTCTTTGTCACTGGTTTGTTTTAAATTATTTCATTTCTCATAAATTAATAAAGAGATTGTACAAAAAACCTCAGTCATCTTCCATCACATAATCACCAACTTCTCTGGCGCTTTCTCCGGTTGCATCCTGCCCTGTGCTCCCAGCACAGAGCTAACAGGAGAAAAGGACACAGATTGCCTCACTCACTGCAATTCCAACTATCCACTTTGTTTTCTAGGCCTAACTGTGTAAACGTGTTGGTCACTACAACTCAGCTCATACCAGCTCTTGCTAAAGTGCTGCTATATGGACTGGGCACAGTCTTCCCCATTGAAAACATCTACAGTGCAACAAAGACAGGTAAGAGCAATACAGCTAAGGCCTTGTCTAAAGTGCAATTGGCTGTTTGTAACCAGGTTGTGGCCCTTGAATCTGATCCACTTACAGTGAGCACAGTTGAATTGTGTTCCTGCAGCTTTATTCACAACACAATTACATGATCCTCCTGTTGGTGCCTCCACATCTAACATACTAACTGCCCATGTTTGTATCAGTGCACCATGGGACGAATCAAGGTAGCTCTCCCATAGTGTCTCAGTGGGCGATACAGTGCCTAGGAGACATGCACACCCAGCAGCATTAGCAGCCTGTGGGCCATATGTTCTGGGACACCCTATCTCACACATCTGAGAGGAAGGAATTCTAATCGAACTTGTTACATAAACATGGCTAAAGGTCCTGTTTACACTGCGGGGCTGGGCTGGACAGCGAACTGGACCTGTTATAGAAAAGCAACCATGGATCAAGATAGAAAAGCTGTGGTTATGTGCTGTGATTGCTAGCAGATATTAATGATCTTGTTTGCTAACACAGACCATGTTTACAGCTATATCTGGTTACAATCTTTGAATGTAGACAGGGCCTAAGGAAGGAAGAATGATGGTCTTTTGGTTCAGGTGTTGGACTGAGAAACAGGAGATCCAGGATCAATTTCTGACTCTGCCACAGAATTTCCGTATGATCCAGGGCAAGTCACTTAGGCGCTCTGTGGTTCAGCTTCCCATCGCTAAATTGGGGCTAATAATACTCAACTACCTCACAGCAGTGCTGGGCAGATAAGCTCATTGTTTGCAAGGCTGAGACACTTGGTGAGCACCAAAAGAAATGCCTTTTGTAATAATGTTTGACAGCTGACTGAGAGCTCCTTTAAATCAAATCATATGGACTCAACGCTGAGATACATAACTATGAATTTGAGGGATCACACATCTGCACCACACAAGTATACATGCTGTTCCCACTAAACTCCTCCCTCTGCATGCACCAGGCTCAATATAAAACCTGTGATGGATTTTCTGGGGGGGAGACTTCTTTGATTGTTCCAAAGTCTTGGTCAGGAGTCTGGTGAGTTCATTCTTACAGTGACCAGAAGTAAAGATGCAGAGATTATAGAGAAAGCAGGATGGTCTAGTGTTCTGAGTATGTGACTAACAACCAGGGACTCCCAAGATCTCATCCTCTCTCTGCCATTGTGACTCACTGTGTGACCGTGGTCAGATCAATTAAATTAAAACTTTTAAAATTTAAAAAAGTTTGAGAATGTTGGCCTTAATCTCTGGGGGTCCCTGTTTACCTGTATGTACAGAGGTGATGATCATTCTCTACTTCCCATGGTGCAGTGAAGATTAATGTTTCTAATTTGTTTTGTAAATGTATGTTAAGCAGCACTACTATATCATATTGCCACATCAGGAATGACCAGATAGTCCTATTTGCTTTCCCTTTGTGGGTAAAAATATGGATAAGAATGTGAATTTCAGCTTCTCACAACGCCACACTAACATCCAGCCAACAAGAATTATACGAGGCCTAATATCCAAAAAACCCTAACCTCCTCCAGAGGCTGTACAGCCCTTCTTCTTGCCCTTTTGTGATATTATTAATTATTTTTATATTGTGGTGAATACATACCCAGAAGCTCCCTGAACCTCTGACTTTCTCTTGTGGCTAGCACCTCTTAGGTTCCTGCACTCCCTCAAAATGACAAAGCTGTCCTGCCCCAATAGAACTAGCTTGCAAGGAAGGTTGAAAGTGGAAAATGTCAACAAACACAACAAAACAAACAAAAAAGTTTTCATTTAAAAAAAAAATTGTGACCGAAAGCTGAAAGTTTTTCAGCTGAATACTATTTGTCAAAAATTGAAATGTTTCTGCAGAAAGCAAATACTTTTCATGAAAAATCCTGTGTAATAGAAAGCCCAATTTTCTATCAGACAGTTTGGGTGGAAATTTTTTGGCCAGCCCTACTGGATAGCTCACAGTTGTCCTAGGTTGTTGGACTTAAACCCTAAATCATATTTGCCATGTTGCCAACGCCAAGTATTCACAACACACTAAACTGATTTAAAAATCAAGAGATTTAAAAACTATAAATATTGGGTTATTTTTATTTGCAGTCTGATGTTTGAGCCTTCTTGGTTCAGATTTTCAAGCTTTTCTCTGCAACCATGAGCACTAGAAACTTTATTCTTTTTAAAATTAAAGCTGAGGTCTTCATGGTGGGGTAATGTGCACTACGGGGTGGGGGGTGATTTCTAAAGTGCACTAATGTTGTGCATTAATTGGTTTGTGTACAGCCTGCTGGTGCGCACTAAAGATTCCCTAATGCACTTTAACATAGTACTGATATATTAATGTGCACTAGGGAACCGTTAGTGCACACCAGCATGGTCTATACAGACCAATTATTGCACGTTAGTGCACTTTAGAAATCACACCCCCTGTAGTGCACATTACCCCACTGTTAGACAAGCCCTGAGATTCCCAGAGAATTGCATGTCTCCAGCAGCAGGGGCTTTAAGAAATACACCAAAAATCACAAGACTTGTGGTAAACACAAGGGAGTTGGCAACACTAGGTAGGTAAAGAAGATGCTGCTAGCTCCTGTGATGGCATCTCAGAGAATGTTGCCTAAGGCTTAATTTGAGAACCAAATTACAAATGCAAAGAAACAAATGAAATCAGGCTCTGCCCCAGCCCTCACAGCTGAATTCCAGCCCGGCTGCCCAGTTCTCTTAGATAACGAACACTTCTTCTCTTTTGTTGCTCAGGGAAAGAGAGCTGTTTTGAACGGATAATGCAGAGGTTTGGGAGGAAAGCCGTGTATGTTGTAATAGGAGATGGTGTTGAAGAGGAACAGGGAGCAAAAAAGGTACAGTTGTATGTACAATTCCAGGTTCTTCGAGTTTTCAGTTCAATGCCTCTTTATTTAACTAAGCATTAAATGAAACTTCTTCCCCACCACGTTGTTTACAGCTAGGCTCTTTCCCCCGGTTGCAAATCCTCACATCACCCTGAGCAATTTCCTACTGCAAATCCCACTTCCATAGCCCTGGCAACCATTGCAACCTTTCAGGTGGTCTCAAGCACTGCTAGTTTCTATTACATGTTCCAGGAACTGTTCCTGATTAATAAAGATGGCATTAGACACATGAAACAAACCCCGCTTGTGTGATGTCAGCTGAAGCAACCATGGTGAATTCTGGAGTTTCTGATCTATATGCCACATTCTTATAATTTCCAAACTCCAGCAGAATTTCTCAGGAGTGATTTATCACAGCATATTAATACTCAGTGCTGTCATGGAGGCTTATGTTACAGTAAATAATGCCAAGGAGACTAATAGTGAGTGGCTGCTTTTCTTTTATTAATGATTTTATGGAGCCATTTGATTAATTTTAACAAGCAAAAAAACAAACAAAAAAGTGGGGGAGGCACATCAAATGCAAATAAAACAAAAATGGAAGGATCTGAAAGTGACATGATCAGGGATAATGAACCCAGAATCCTGAGAGTATTACATACTTATTGGACAGACACATGGCCCTTTGTCACTAGCATCCTAAAGAGAGACTGTGGAGCAAGTGTTCTTTGCATCACATGACAACTGACTGGGAAAGTCCAAGCAAGCCACAACCTGATTTTAGGTACCAGGTGAGACTTCCAATTAGGGATTAGCAGAACATTTCAGATACAGTAAGATGCGACCTAGACTTTTGCCCAGATTTCTAACTGAATCCAAAACTGATTTGTTTTTTAATTGAAGTTCAAAACATTTTGATTCTTCATTTTTAAAATATTTGTATGTCTCTTTTTCCTGCTTTCCACTGGCACCAGATGCCAAACTGCTGAAATATGGCATTCAACATGGGCTCTTGTGGGCTTTCCAGCCTATTAGGAAATGCCCTTCTCATCATGGCAGTGAGGACAGTCACTAATGGTGGTGGTGCTGCTGCTGTTGCTGCTGGGGTGGTGCAGTGGCTCTGAGCCCTGACTGCCGGTACAGTATGTCTTTGGGGATGGAGCGTGCCCTTAAAGAGACAGACATCTCCCCCTTCTGAAAAGCTGTGGTGGAGGGGAGGCAGTTGAATTGGAGCTGTGCTTGTACCGCAGCTCTCATGTGCTACTGATGCAGGGTGGTGGGCACCCATGAAGGGGCTTGCAGCCATACGGGTGCTGCTCCCAGGCAATGCAGGGTGGGAGGACAGCTGAGCCAGAGGTGCCCTGTGTAGCTTGCCTGTATGATCCATGCCTAATAGCTGCTGTGGCTATTATAAGAATAGTGAGAAGGAAAGATCATCCTGGTGAGTGCATTTTGTGTGGACAGGAAGAGGGAGAGAGGAGAAGTGGGGATGCCAGAGAGAAGAGCTAACAATAGCATATCATGAGAAGATCCAGGGCTGGGCCAGGTTTATGGTGATGAGGAAGGATAGATTTGGAGGTGAGGTTGGGGGTACTAGTGTGATTTTCACGGTAGAAATAAAGATAAATAAGAGAACATGGCAGGGCAGAGTCACAGACTTTGGGCACAGGGAGGAAGAATCAAGGGTGCCATTCACTAAGGCTGTGCGAGTTTGGGTGAGGATGGTGGAGCTGTTGACAGAGAAGGGAAATCAAACTGCAAATCCTTGGATTACTGCCTGTGAGGGTTTCTGCCTGTTAGTGGGGGTTGGAGTCCCTGAACAGTTCAGAGAAGAACCCCGGAGTCAGGAGGGTTCCTGAACTTTCTGTGGGGTAGAAACCTGATGGGAAATCTGCCATTGTTTTGGTTTCAACATGGCCAGAAACACCATTAGATCACGTCTTTCTCGGGATGTCTTCCTGCTTCCCCCTGCAGCCCCATCTAAGACTCTTGTGCTCCGGGCATGACCATCCTGTGTAACCCAACTTCCCCTGGCTGGTTCCTAGGCTGAATGAGGAGGCAGGAAGCAACAGCCAGGCAAGGCTGGTCACATTGGGAGCACAGGCTCAGGGAGGAGGGGATCCCACCAGGTGCAAGGTGGGTCAGCACTTGCTCTGTCCCCAGGGTCTCAACCCAGTCCTGCCTTGAAGCAGCCAGAAAACCTTTTCCTCCATGGCACATCAATTCCTGTCACCAACCAAAAAACTCTGGAAATTAGCCAGATTCCCAGGTGCTTAGCTGGTTCCTTAAGGGTTAAGAATCCCTCCAAGAAGAACCCAAAATGCATGGACTGAAAGTGAAGTGATAATAGCCTGCCGCTTTTGACAGCTCTGCACTATACTTCAAAGGTAGTGGGTCAGTGCACATGACTGCATCAAAGGCTACCAGGTTCCATGGCAGTATGAAGCAGCAGGAAGGTTCAGCAGCCTTCTACAGGCAGGGTTTCAAGAGGCCTCTTGCTAGTGTCTCCTGGTTTAATCAACTCTCCCATTAGGAGAACACATTCTTTGCTGGAGCTGTCACAGCCTTTGATTGATGACAACCATTAGTCAGGGCTGCTAGCTACACACCTGACTTTATACAAAAAACAGGGTGGGCAGAGAGCCTTTCACTGTTTTGCTGGCAGCACTGATAATATCTCCGTTTTAGTGAGTCGTTTTTCTTCACCTATCCACAAATGATAAATCTGCAAGAGCTGAACAGCAGGCGTGGCTGAGTGTCCAAGCTTTCTTCTCTTTAAAGAAAGGAAGACAGATAATTTAAGTGGAAGGGATTTTATATCCACCAGGGGTCTGAGGAAATGGGAGAGGAAATAACTTTTCCCCTATAAAGTGAAATTGCAGAGCAATGCACTGTAGTCACTTCAGATGCCCCTGTGTTTGCTTGCTGTGTGAAGTGAACAAAGAAAGTGATAAATAGCTTCAAGGGAAGATTTTTTTTTACTGATAGGCAACATAGCAGAGAGGAGCTTGAACTGTATTTAAGTAGAGAAGAGTGTAAATAGACACCATGTAAAATGAACATCTGGTGTCACTACAGTGTCCTAAGCAGGTAGTAGCCCTAGGAAAGAATCCTCTTCCTTCAACTATTTTGTCTGCTTGGGAAATGAGAATGTGTAATGTTAAGAAACCAGATTAAGGCTTTAGCTAGACACACAAGTTGCACCACTTTATCTGTATTGGTGCAGTTAAAGTGGTACAATCCCCCTAGTGACACAGTTAAACTTATTTCTATGCGGTAAGGCGAGTAAGCTAAACCAGTTAAGGCAGGCTCATACTTCTATAACCCACGCTGGGGATTTTACCGATATCACTATTTTGGCAGTAACTGACATCATTATACCAGTACAAAATGTGCATGTAGACCAGGCCTCAGTCTTTGGTACAAACCTAGGATGAGTGAACTGGTTTGGATAAGAAAAGAACCATCTCAAATCTTAGGCCACCCAGAGCAAATCAAAGAAGTTTGGATAAAGATCTGAATGTAACTTCCAAATCTTCTGAGAGTCACCCCTTTCAACTGAAGTGACCACAAAAACTACAGAGAATACTAAACACCAGTCACAATTGTCAAAACTGTACCTACAGAGTTACCAGAATATTAACCAGACCCACCTGGTGTTTGTACGTCACTTGTTTACTGGCACCCACAAATAGTTGGCATTTTTTTCTTTTGGAAACATAAATCTGGCTTTCAAAAGAGCATAGGCATAGTTTCCATTATTTTAAATGAGACATAATAAAATGAGGTGACTGCAAGAAGGTCACAGATAGCAAGATTTTCTAGATTTTAGCTGAATCCAGTAGAACCTCAGAGTTACGAACACCTCGGGAATGGAGGTTGTTCGTAACTCAGAAATGTTGTAATTCTGAACAAAATGTTATGAGTGTTCTTTCAAAGTTTACAACTGAACATTGACTTCATACAGCTTTGAAACTTTACTATGCAGAAGAAAAATGCTGCTTTCCCTTTATTTTTTTAGTAGTTTACATTTAACACAGTAGTGTATTGTATTTGCCTTCTTTTAATTTTTTTGTCTCTGCTGCTCCCTGATTGTGTACTTCCGGTTCCAAATGAGGTGTATGGTTGACTGGTCAGTTCATAACTCTGGTGTTCGTAACTCTGAGGTTCTACTGTATTTTTAAATGGGACATTTCAATAGAGAAGTACCTGCCAGGACTTAGACAATTGTATGGAGAGCAAGCATATTCAGAGTAATAATAGCAAATACTAAAAAATAAACAAGGGGTTTGGAAAAGGATACAGATTTTTATGCTTTAGGGCATAAGCCAACCTCTGACAAATGGGAGTCAGGAGGAAGCTTCCTTGGGGATGGGTTATCCTGTAGCTATTATGGGTAGTGGGATAGGCCTGCCCAGAACTAAAGGTTGCCCCTTCAACCACTGAACCCAGACCACAAATAAATGAAAAAACAGGAACGGCGTGAATGTCAAAGGTTAAAAAAGTAGAGCACCAGGAGGGCACACCAAGCCAAGAACCCTCCGACAGCACCCACTGCTCCTCAAAGGTGTCTGAAGAGTCAGTGGACACCACCCAGAGGACCTCCACTCAGAGGCATGACATAACAAGGGATTAGAAATAGGCCTCACAGTTGCAGAGCACACCCCCGTCCAGATTCCTCCTCCTCCCGGTGTGATGGGTGGCCATCTTGGCCAGTGCCAGGAGGAGGCAGTCTCATGACTTCGTGGGGCCATGAATGGGGTGTGCATAAATGAGGAGGGGGGAGGGGGAAGTGCAGCCAGAACCTCAGAAGGCAGTTCTGGAATAGGGGTTACAACCTGAGACATGCTACATAGACATGTGCCAAGGTCTCCCTCTCTTCACAGAAAGGGCAGGTGTCGGGAGATGCCACGAAATGCACCAGCTCCAAGGCCCTGCTCACGGCTCCATGAAGGAGCCACCAACTAATAACTCTGGCAGGCCGTGAACAAGAGTGGAACAGCAGGTCCCCACCGGTTGGAGTAGGGGCAGGATGTCAGGGCGAGGATGTAGATGGTATGAAGTACAAGTGTGTTCAGATTTTTTCTGGGTGCAGTTTGGCGACAGGCCCACTGGATATCATTCAGCCAACTCAGGTGGTTTGTGTTGAGAGGGACCAGAGAGGTTCGTGGGGCAGAGGCCAATGATGAGCTCCAGAGGGCCAGGGTGAGGGGTGGGCAAGGAGAACCTTCCTGCAAGACCCACTTGAGAAAAGTGAGAGAAGCTGGGGGCAAGGCTGCCTTCTCCTTCTGGAGCACACTAGGGGGCAACCCCATGCGATAGCCAAGCACTGCAGTATCCTCCTAACTGTAGTCCAGGAGGTCTCAGATTCTGGTGGCACCAGCCAGGACCATTCTTTGATGTACCAAGTCAGACTCCACTACCTGCACATGAAGGTGTGGGTTGTATAGCAGGGGTCTGTTAGGAAATCTTCCCCCTCAGTGTGCGCTGCAGACCTGGCTGCTGAGATAGCTTCCAGGTCCTGAGGAGGACCTGGTAGAAGACTGGCAGCTCAGAGAGGTTGGGAGGGAGACCTCTCAGATGGAGACAGAGAATTGCTGCTGGTCATTTCGGTACCCTCAGAAGTGGTGAAGGAAGGCGTGTGCGAGCACGCTCCATGACGGACTACGAGCACTGGAGTCTCCTTCAAAGGGAAAGGCATCAGAACATCTCTGTCCATCTCCACAGCTGGTCAGACACCCTGGCCTCCAGATCGATCCAATTCTCTAGCGTGGAGGGATCAGTGGCAGACAGGCACACATCAAGATAGAACAGTGGACCTGCACCTCCATTGGATGGTCTGGCGCGTGAGTGGGAGGAAGCCAGTCTGGCACCTGTCCCCAACCATCAGGCCAGAGCTCTTGACCCAGTTGACTTGGGGTGAAGGAGGCTGCTGAATAGATGGTTTGGCAAGTCTCCACCCATGCCAGGTCTCCTGGGTCCTGGGCCACGAGGAACACTTCATCGGTATATGCCAAGAGGTTATCCTATAACTGCCTGGTGCAAGGTTTCTTGCATCTTCCTCTGAAACAGCTGGTAGTGGGCTAGATGGACCCCTGGCCTGATCTATTATGGCAATTCCTATGTACCTACGGATTGCTGTGGGGTTTGTCTTTCATGCAGAGTGAACTGTAATTGTTATAATACCAACTGCTTTATGGTTCATGCTTTTGATTATGTAAACAACTTCATTTTATTGCATAACTTCCTAGTCTATGGAGAGGTGGCAACACAAAGGTGGTTTTCGTGGCCTGGAGCATGTGTTATAGGAAAGGATTGCAGAGCTGTGTGGAGAATCTCATAGCACTTGTCTGTCATGTTGCTAAGGCACCTATTGCAATGGATTTTAGGCATCAGGAAGGAGCAGCAAGATTTTGTTTCGAAGAACATTATTATTCTAGAAACATTCACACTAAACCCAGTGGGAAAATGGGAAGTAAAGTTTGTAGTGTATAACAATACAAAATCTTTGCAGGCATCCAGAAACTTGCCCTGCCCTGCTTGTTTCCTCCGAAGCAGGACAGCATGTGAAAGTGCCTCACAAACTCAGGAAGTGCCTGCAATTTCCAGCACTTTGCAATGTTTTTAGTCTCTACAGACACACACACCTGCAGAGGGGACACCAAACCCCCCTCTTTTAATTTCTAAAATGATCTTTTATCTCTATAGCCATATTGTGAGTTGATGGCTAAGGGTGTAACACGTCCCATTGTTCAGGGTGCAAACTATGAAAGATCTTTTGATCCTTGTGTTTAAAAAATATATTTTGGTTTCTTTCCAGCACAACATGCCATTCTGGAGAATCTCCTGTCATGCTGACCTGGAGGCTCTCAGGCACGCCCTGGAACTTGAGTACTTGTAGCAGACCCCAACGTCTCAGCGCTGGGCAAGCTTCACTCAGAGAGACATCAGCTCAACCTATTCTTTTGTATTTTATATAACGGATCCTACAACAATTGCAGTCATCTTTCTTCAAGGGGAACCCATTGTATGGAAGCCTTTAAAAATCTGCATCAGGAAAGCAATGTATCAAATCCTTCTTCCATTGGATGGAGGGAAAAACCTTCAAATCACCCAGTGGGGATCCTGCAGTTTTATGGCTAAAATGGATTCTTAGAGCTGATACTGGACTCTTGACTGTTTTATTGCCATGTGAATGGCTTTGAAGCACACAAAAGACTAGAAGTCCTGGGTCTACTTGTCAGTTTTCTTGCTTTGAAAGGGGGGAAAAGGACACAGCATGGAATTCTGGGCATGCTCACTGGACTCTTCATTACATCATGTGGGACTTTCTGAAAATAAGAGTGAAATAGTTGGGGGTTTTTGTATTTTTTTAATTTATGAACTAATCTCATTACTCTGGTATTAAGCTCTGTATCTGTGTTTTTATCTTCTTTTTGGGGGGGGGAGGGCAGAGGGTCCTACAATTCTAATTTAATAGTTCTTTTCTCCACGATAAACTCTGTGGACAATCATATTGTGTACATTAGTATTGAGGACATTTGGGACTGTTGGTAAGAATTGTAGCTATGTTTTTTAAACCTGATCTAGATGGTATGTGGACTGTGCATGTGTCTAAACGGTGCCTTATGCTGCCATCTTGTTTTCGGTGGGTGGGGAGAAGTAGCTTGTGATGAATGAAAGGCATTAAATAAAACTACGTTTACATTTTGGGGGAATAGAACACCTGCCTTCTCTTCTCTCCATGCATCGTTGGACCTAGCAGATGTGTAGAATTCTTGCTTTCCCTCTGAGTTAGAGACGGAGTAGGAGAACTTAGATTGGAGATGCAAAGACTACAGTCTGTGGGAACTCCCTGTGATGGCAGGGAGCAAAGACAATCACCTGAATTATGTTAAGTGCTAGAGAACTTGGCCAACAAACAACATTTGTTCATCTATCAAGGGAAGATAAAGTGCAAGCAAATATTACAGCTCGGCACATTTATTTTTGACAAAAATATTTATGTAAATAAATGCATATGCAAATTAGATTCAGCCTACAAGCTCCTGCTGAGCTGCCTTGGCAACCCTCAATGTCAAACATTTTGGCTCCCTGGGCTTGGATAAATCTCTAATTCTCTATACAGATTTTATTATTATTTATTTCTATTACAGTAGCACCTTGAAACCCCAGTCAAGGATCAGGACTTCAGGTTGCCAGGCCGTCTACAGACATGTGACAAGTAAAACAACCCCAGCCTCAGAGAGGCCACAATCTACATGTCATACAGGACGCCACTGGTGTACAAAACAGACAAATTGGGTGGATGTTGGTTGGGAGGAGATTGTTTTATTGTTACTAAGTTTAACAGATCAGCAGAAGTCAGAGTTTGCCCCTTGCCTACCCAATGCCAGATGGGAGTAATTTGTAGATTTCACAGCACAGGAAGATTTAGAGGAAGGATGTATGGGAGATGATTAAATGGGCATTTCCCCAAAACTGAGACAGTGTAACAATGTATTGGCCTCATTACCAATGCAGCATATTTACTGTTTGCACACAGGTGTGAAGCTAAATAGGTTTTAAAGATACAACAGCTGCAGCTATAAAGCCTTCGATGAGAATCTCAAAACAGCCACTTCAGGAAATAAAGATCCATTGCCAGCTCTGAGCAAGAGAGTTTCCTGCAGGGTGAGTGTGGAGTACTGACCACAGAATAATTTAATCTCAGCATCTGGCTCAAAAGTATCAGCCACGCAGCATCTGCAAAGTATGTTATCCACACTTGCCTACAGTATGCAGGAGGGAAAAAAACCTGTTTCGGGTCTGGGCATAGCACAGCACTAAACAAAAACAAGGTGTGGTTCTCCAGCAGAGGAGTCACTAGCCTTATGGTCTGCTGAGAGAGGGAATCTAGGACAAAGCAAAGTCTTTCTGCAATAGTTTGGCTGGCATAAATAGAGATTAAATTTGACCACAAAACTAGCACAAGAAACCAGAGAAATTGGGGGCAGGGGGGAAATCTGACTGAGAGGCTCCCATGAGATAAACACAAGTGTGAGTAAAACCTCTGAAAGGCAGCAGCTCTGGGGAATTGTAGGCCACTGACAGACAGTGAAGCTGCAGCTTTTAGGAACTTGCCAATCAACTAATTGTTTCTCATGGAATTCGGAGGCATTGGCTAGCTCGTTTTACCCAATAGCTCATTCTTTCTGAAGCGAGTTAAGAGACTCCGCTTTCTGAACGTATTCAGACATTCTCAAGCTCGCTTATGTGCTTGTGGTTTTCCTTTCCTGCACCCTCCATCACCCCCAGCCCCCCACCCCAACAGAGTTCTAGGGCTTGGTTGCTCTCATATTTGTACACACACACCCTTGCTCTCCCCTGTGTATTGCTGCACATGCTCTCTCCATATTCATTCATTGCTCTCCTAGTTGGCTGTGTCCATCTCTCCTATGCCTCAGTAACATTGAGTTGCATATGCCAGCAAGAGCAATGATATGCCACCAGCTTCCAGACAGGGAGTGACAGGTGTCCTCCTCTCACTAAAAAGCATGGCCTCAGCCTTCCCTGTCTGAGGGAATCTAGGAACATTTTGTTCAGCAAATAGCTGGCTACCTGCACATCAGTCCTGGGTTAGCAGTTGGGAATACCCATTCCCCAGGCACAGTCCAGACTATTGTTTGTAGCCATGTTTAAAAATATTTTCAAACATTGTTGCAGCCTAAGGCCCTTTATAAACTACACTAGCAACCAGGTGAGGGGCAGCTATGAGGTGACCAAGACCCTTGAGTCAAGTGTAATGTAGGCCACCTCTGAGCCCTAGGTGAGTAATCTAAGCCTTGCCTAATAGACATACTGATGACATTACTAATATAGGACTGCTAATAATCAGAGCCTCTCCACTTACAGATGGTCAGCACTCCTCCCTCTGAACCGTCCTCTTACATAAAAACGAGGCAGTGAAAGATAGCTATCCTATTTGGTAGATTATATTCTGGCCTCTTAAGACTTGAATGGGACTTTAAGAGTTGCAGAATATAGCAAACGCTGTCGCCACTGACTTGTCAACACTTCAGGGAGCAAAATACCTTTCCAAACATAGAGAAAAACAAGCTGCACTAAGCTGTGTCTTGTTTAGTCACTGGCTTGCATTTCCAGAGAAACCATTTGTTCCATTATTTAGGCACAGGCTGTGTTCCTTTTTCACTGTGTAACACTGTATTTAGAAGAATTTGTATCTTCCCATCTATTGTTGATTAAATAATCATTTTCATATTGACCTTCACTCCACAGCACAAGCTTGAAAATTACTTTCTCCTTCAAAGTTTAAAATATCTTGTAAGGGAAGTGGAGAGCCCTTCTCAAGTGTCAGTCATGAAATGAAGCCTATAGGGCCAACTTGACTGCTGGAGTAAGTAGGCAAACTCCATTAACTTCAGGGTTATACATTTATTTATGCCAGCCACAAACTGGGCCTTAAACCATTAGCTTGGCTAATGGGCTAAGTAATTACTAAACTAACACCCCCCCCCCCACCTCAGTTCACTTATGTCATGGGAACTCCCAAAGAAGTTTAATCATTCCTACTTCAGCAAAACAGCAGGGTTGAGGGACCCGCTCCCAGAAGTCAAGAAATGAGCAATATATATATATATATATATATTTTAAATTTAAAGAAGCCACAGGCATTTAAACCACCTATCAGGGTTATTGTAGTGGAATGATAGCACCGTTTATAGTTGAGATTTAGATAACATGCTATTAAACACAGAGTTGTTTTATAACAAGCAGAAATAGTTAGCTGTATAAGCTGTCAATTTGCTCCATTCAAATAAGCAAACATGCACTAAGGGCCTGACCCAAAGCCTGTGGAAAGCCATGGAGAGATTCCTATTGATTTCAGTGGGTTATGATTCATGCCTCAAAAAAGTCACTTTCTCCGTAGACTCAGGAGCCAAGGTATTTGCATAAGTACCAAAATACTTTTTTAACCATGAAAAAAGTTCTTGCTGAATACTTTTTTATCCATAAATTGAGATTATATCTGATCATTACTGTCAGCTTTATTTTAAACTGGATGCAGATGTTATAAGAATATACTACAGTGTTCTAGAGGTATTGGCCAATATGCTATAGCCTCACAACACTGTTACTGTTGGGCTTGGGGTCCACTGCTGTAAGCATTTTAAACATAGAAATAAGTGTTTGTAAACAAATGATGACTGTGGGTGATGCAGAGCAGCAGGTCCCTTACTTCAAGCCTCATTAAGCTTCTCAGAGTTCTTGGGAAGAAAACTCTGTGATCCAGTTCAAACTTGTATTATGATGCTACTGCAATTAAGGGCAATCATTTATCTGTTACATAGTTTGGGTGGGATGTAGGTTGTAAATGCTGATTTATTGTAGGTGTTTTGCTGAATCTGTTGCCTACCAGAGCAGCACAGGTGCTGCAGGGCTTTAACAGACTTGGGAAACACTGTAATTAAAATGAAATAAATTACTTTTGACAGATATATTACAGCTTGTCATCCTAAAAGGCAGATTGCTAGGGCTGGATTAATTCTTCCTGCTGCTCTATATGAGTGCTAAAGTATTATTTTATTAGTGCTTTCCTTCCTTTCTGGCTGATAATTTATGCCTCACTCACCCCCATCTCCTTTCTGTCTGCTGGGACTTTCTTTACTTAATTGTTCTTATGTCCACATTCTACAGACTCCAGTGGAACCAGGATTTCACCCTTGGAGTCTGGCAAAACTTCCACTAACTTCAATAGGGCGCAGATCTTCACCTCAGCTATTCAGACACATGGGACATCATGCAAAAGATTCACTACAATAATTGTGCACAAGCTTTCACTACAGTAATGAATGACATAGGAGATCTCTTCTCTACCATTGCTTACTCTTCTGGTGTTTACCTGCATGCCACGACTCTAAACATGAGTAGTAGTAGTAGTTAAAAACAAAGATGCTAAGTTGTAAAGCAAGTGTATTGTGTATGTTAGGGCATTTTGTGTAAATGAATGTAAAAAAACCCAAACCTAAAACCTAAAAGGCAGATTGCTAGGGCTGGATTAATTCTTCCTGCTGCTCTATATGAGTGCTAAAGTATTATTTTATTTTATAAATAATTTTATGGGGCAGGCGCTACGGTTACCCATTTTCTAATGCCACACCCTCAAAACTGGTCAATTTTCACCTTTTCCCACTGAATATTTATTAATATTTTCTTCAGAAAAATGAGTAAGAGTAGCAGGTGCAGCTGTGAGCACATCTGTTACCCCCAACAATGCAAAGCATGCCAGTTGCACTCATTAGAAGGAAATAGTTGGGGGACATATAACTGGCAAAACTGTCACCAATGTAAAGTGACATCTTGTCTTCAGAATTATGGACGACAAAAGTGCCAGAGCTGTAGGGGGATTCTCAGCTCAGCATGGCTCCAGGCCAGGCTGGAGTCCATGTGGTCCCCAAGAGCCAAGTTTCAGGTAGTTTTTCTAGTGGCTGAAGGAGAGGAACCGTAAGCAGAAGAGCCTGGTTCCTCACCTTCTCCTTGCAAACACTGCCTTTAGCTACAGTGTAATTCAGCACAAAACAGCCATTGTCATTCCTCTTCCAATATCTCCCCTGCTTTTCCTTTTGCCCACTCCATCAAATTTAAAGTTCTCAGCTTCAAGGCCCTACAAAGCTCCACCCAGGCTTACATATCAGTTTCTTACTGTATTCCCCTTCTAGTCTCCTTTGCTCAACTGGTGACATGACACCATCCCCTCCATCACCTTTGTTTGCTTCTCCCACTTCCATTTTTTACACCTCCTTCCATCTTGCTTATATACAGAATGATCTCCTAACCACAGAACCAAAAGCCCCCAACCCTCTTATTCAGATCCCTTTTAAAGACCCACTTCATCAGTGAGCCTCACAAACACTCAAATGCACACAACAGCTAGTTTTCCTAAAATGACAACATCCTCAGGGTCTACCCATACATCGCTACTTAACTGCATCTTTTAGGCAGTAAGCAAATGCTTCGTATATGGCCAACCAATAGTGCTTAAATCATATATAACAGTTGCCCAAGATGTACCAAAACCAGAAATAGGTTTTATTAGCTCTGTCCACAACCCACTAGTCATTCAATTAAAATGTAATCCAGAGCTGAACCATCTCTGCTTTTGATTTTGTGAAACCAAACCATGGCCCATCACCAGCATGTGAATAATCTATACACAACTCTAGTTCAGAATACTGTTGCTATACAAAATTGCTTCTTTTGAACTAACTAATGCTTTGCAAAACAAAATTGCCAAGGGAGTTCCCTGGATTTACCCCAGTGTTAGATGGTTGTCTTCCATCTCTAGCTTATAACGCTTTTTTTTACATTAGTTTAGCTCCCACATTTAGCCACATGATGGCAACAAAACTCCACCATTACCCCGCTCATGTGAAACACGCCCGCCCCCCCTGGCTGCCGGGCGCGTGCAGAGAGGGTCCGGACCAACCGCTCTCGGGGGCCCCAGGCTGCAGGGAAACGGCCAGGCCGCTCCCAGCTCAGTACCATCGTCCCGCTCATGAGAAGAGAGACACTAGCGTAGCACTGACTAGACGGCTAACGACCCCCGTCCCCCTTCAACCATGGCAACCGCCCAATCGGCTTTTAACCCTCACAGCTGCCAGCTCAGCCCATAAAGGAGGCTGGGCGGAGCGCGCCCCGCAGGGGAACGACCTAGAAACGCGCCCGCTGCCGGCTTTACGCTCCCAGTCGTGACCCCCGTGGGAGCGGGCGGCCTCGGCGGGGCCTAGCCCGGCTGGATTGAGGTGCCCGCTCGAGGGCAGCCCGGAAGCGCCGGGGGCGGGCGGTGGATAACGCGAGGCCTGTCCGCGCTTCCTCTGCCGGCGAGAGGGGGTGGCCGCCGGGCCACGCCGCCCCCGCCCGTGGGTCGCAGTCCGGTGCGGGGAGGGGGGTGATCTCGTTCTCTGGCTTGGCTCTGGTGGGTTCGAAATAAAACCACCAAAACCCCTTACTGTAGGTGGACTTGGTGCCCCCGGGGTGCCAGAGCTGAGGTAAGAGCGGCCCCCTGGGGCAGGCGCTACGGTTACCCATTTTCTAATGCCACACCCTCAAAACTGAACCCCCGCAGCCCCGCCCCGTCTTCACGCACTTTAATCCGGCAGGGACAGGCGTGTGAAGGGCTGGCGGTTAGGGTGGCTCTGGGAGGGAGTTAGGGTGTGGCAGGGGGTTCTGGGGTGGGGTGCAGGAGGGGACTCAGGGCTGGGGTAGGGGGTGAAGGGTGGGGTAGAGGATTAGGGTGTGGGGGGGATTCAGGCTGGGGTGCAGTCTCTGGGAGGGAATTTGGATGTATAAGGGGGCTCAAGGCTAGGGGTGAAAGGCTGGGATGAGGGTTAGGGTGTGGGAGGTGAGGTGTTGGCTCTGGGAGGGAGTTTGGGTGTGGGAGGGGGCTCAAGGCTGGGGTGCAGCCTCTGGGAGGGAGTTTGGGTGTGTGTGTGGGGGGGGCTTTGACCTGGGGCAGGGGGTTGTGGTGCAGGAAGGGGTTTGGGCTCCAGCTGGGCAGAGCTTACCTCAAGCAGCTCCTGGAAGCAGCCGGCTCCTAGACAGA